TGATAAAGAGCATACATTACAGTGCTTAATAACAGTCCCCACACCTTCATAACAGCAGAGGGGAGAGCGGCTGCCTGCAGCTTTTTATTGAAGGCTTTTTTTTCTTCTCACCCAAGTTGTTTTCTGAGGTGTTTTTGCCCCAGGTTATCCTTCCGTTTCTGCAGAGCCCAGTGACAAGCCTTCAAAACCTCTATTCCTGCATTTATGGCCTTCCTGCATTTTGCAAAAGGTTCTACGGTAGATCAAGTCAACAATGTTGTAGTTGATACATATTATTTTGACAATTTTAACAACACATATCAATTCATAAAAACTGCTTTAATGTGCAGCAAAAGTTCCTTAAAATTACAGATATGGGCAAAAATTCTGAAATACAGTGGTTGTTGTTAGGTTTATTCAATGATCATTATAAAGTTAATGTGTGTACATATGAAACATTGGAGAAATGAGATGCTTCACTCTGTTTCCTGCCATGCAATGGTGGCAGAAAATTGCTGATTGTGCAAGGCTAATCACAGTTATCAGAATTCTGTGATTCAATCAGAGGAGCATTTTGTCCTATGACCTGATCAATTGCCTTGTCAGAAGCACACTCTATTTTGTAACTCACCCCATGTGTTATGATCTGCTAATAAAAAGGCTTCTGCAGAGGAAGTCCGTCAGAGAGTAGATGTAGCTGAATGTAACTCTCTCCTTCTGCAGAAGTTGTTAAAAATCCCTCTTCTGTGTAGACTAAGTTCCTCTTTTACCAACCTTCATTTTTAGAACCTAACAGTTGTTAGGTGATTAGTGTGTTTGGTGCAAATTGACAATCTGAATTTCTTTTAGTTTTTTTTTTTTTTTTTTTTTTACCTAGTAGAGTAGACTGTGCTTGATTCATAGTATAAAAGCCAATATACACTCATGCATGGGTTTTCATAGCAGTCTGTGTGCCATGTGCAAGCCCATTGAAGCGTTGTATACATTTATAGTTGACATGAATGTAGGTGCAGTACTTGCATAAACCACAGAGGGGCAGTGAGCAACATAACGAGTGGAAATGGCGGGGGGAAAAAAAGGAAATGGTTGACGTCCCACTTAGAAATTGGCCAAGTGCAGTATTTATGCTTATTGAGAATAATAGGTGTGTTTATGGCAGCTAAAGAGAAATATGCACTGGAATAAAATGGTAGGTTTACCCACCACAGACAGTGAAATGTGATGATGGGGAAATCATTCTGCCTGTGAAACCCATATTGACCTTTTTGTTTTTTAAATAATAGATATAAAAAAAATTTGTTTTACTAAATAAAGCTGAATGCATAATATACTATATGTAGTTGTTTCAGACTTTTTTATGTTGTATGTGATACAGAAACTAAAATCCTTGTTTATACCACAAGCTTGGCAAATAAACTCACCCTGTTTGTTGTTTTCAGTCACTTAAAAAACAGTAACAGCACTGCATTTAAGCAAATGTTTCCACTTGAACGTTCAAGATTTGATGTCAGTACAGGCAAACTTGTATATCCTCCCATTTTGAACGAGGCTGGCACGAGTGGTCAACGCCAAGGCGCGCACAACGCTCTTTGTTCAATGCGGTTAATATAAACCAAGCAGCAATATCAGGGTTTCATTTTATGTCTGTCATGTTTGTAACCCATGATGCTTCATGATCAGACTATTATCTTGTTATTTTATACTTGTTTTATATTGCTCTCTTTTTCCCCTTTTATAAAAAATGTGCAATGATAAAATCTTTTTCTAACAATAATCACATACAGTATGTGTTTTGAATCTACTGTAAATCTTAATAATAATAAATCTCAGGTTGCCAAAAACAGTCACTTTTTGGGGTGTGGTGTCCAAAAAGAGTATGTTTCTACACTTGTACAAGGGCTGAAAGTTGTGAAAGACCCTTAAACTCTTTGCAAGAACTCTAAATTTTACAGAGGAGGCCAACCAAAATATTAGCAAAAGCAGGGAACAGAAGCACAAACATTTCCTTCATCCATCCTCTGCCTTCGGCGATCTGATATCATGCACAGCTCTGAACTTTCAGTAATAAAGCAGGCATTGTGGAAAGACTACAACAGTGAACTGGCACATCGATCAGCTATAGCTCTAAAATCTGCATCAGCAGTCTACTGTACCGATGTTTTTGAAATGATGGTGGAGAACACAATCAGTCGTGGCTATTTTCTTTTTTTCTTCACTAAATTCAATTGGAAACAGACAGGAAGGTGCTGGAGAATATTTTTCCCCTCAAGAGGGACTCTGTGTGATAAGACTGATAACCAATGGGGTGAGGTGTTCCATTTTCAATTTTTTTCACAAAGCATCATCCATCTATTCATGTTCTACACCTGCTTAATCCCGTGCATATCCCCAGCGGTCGGATTGAGTCAATCATAGAACCGAGAAGCATATAGAAATATCTGTTTGTTTTTTTTGTACTATCTCCTCTGGAGGCAGCCGGTTGTTATTCTTATTTTCCTTCAGACACAGCTGCTCTGAAAGTAGAGGTCAGCTTTGGTATATTTGGTGTCCATAACATGTATTTTTGTCTTGTTTGGCAACGCTTGAAAACAAAACAATTTCCTGAAGAGTTTTTGGGCAGCTTGCCGTGGAGCACTGGCAGCTGGCCAACCACTGAGAATTACAGAAACAGCTGTTTTTACATGTGCTGTTTGCTTCCATGTGTTTTGCTCATTAGAATGGTTAAAATGGTTGTTTTTTTTAGGTGTCGCTTGGATTTTTCAGTTTACATAAAGAGCATCTTAAAGTGTCCTCGGCGCACTGGAACCCTATGTCTCTAATTGGAAAACTTTTATAACTTTAAGCATAGACTTCTGCATGCTTCGTTATTCTTTCCCGGTAGATGTCTGAGATTGAAAAGTGATTGGCAGAGGGAACATTTTGGAGTCCAAGAGGATGCTTGAGGTGTTTTCACATTCAAAGCCGTTTCCTGATTAGCATGTCATGCACTATTCCAGTTATTAAAGATCTTGGTGAGATGTGTCAGATCAGCCTTGCTCCTTAGATGCATCATAATATCCATCTGATTCATGCAGAAATATGTGCATCGAAGTAGACAGTCATTAATCTCCCATCCCTTAATCTAACTGAGGGGTTTTCAACAAGTATTTACTTCCTCATTAGGTGCTTTTGACTTTCACCCACTGTTTTAGATGGACTTAAAAACTACTTCCGTAAAAATTCAAAAAATATGGATATTTTTTGAATTTTTACGGAATGACTATGACCTGGATGACTGAGAACCTTCATCAGCACTTAAAAACTACATATTTCACACTCACCGGTGCTCCTGTTATTACCATTGACATCTTTCTCCTTATTAACCCAATTTTGCACGTACAAAAATGCATTTTTGTTCAGTTTCTGTAGATGCACCAGTGTCCCTGTCCTCCTTCACCTTCTCTTTTCTTTAGCTAACCCCACATTTTCTGTAGAATATAACACTTAGGTCAATTTTTAAAGACCTCATTGTGCCATGCACTCAACAAAAGTTTACTAAAGTTTAGAAACAGGCCCAAAGCATCATAGATCCTCTACCAGACTTAACAGTTAGGAGTTTGCACATAGTCTACTTCTTTGTTTTACTACTAAATTACCAGATTTTTTCCCCTTTTTGTTGCTGAAAAGTTTATAAATAACCTACTGTCAAAAACATACGCAACAATATCTACACATAAGAAAAGAAAAAAACATTTTTTTTCATTTAAAGCTACAGTGTGTAATAATTACAGGGATATACAGTCAGAAATGTAATATATTATACATAACTATGTTATTTATCATCATCTACGAGCT